CAACCCGATTAATAAATATTCACACAGTTCATAGAAGGGTAAATCAGTAAATAACCACCAAAGCAGAGCAATAGAAAAAACAGAGCTAACCAGCTGTATAGCAGGCGGAGGAAGAAGACGACTCCCCCAGGTGGCGGTAGCCCCTCCGGAACTGCTCCGGCAACTGCAATAAGCCGTCCTCCATATCCCTCTCCCTCTTCAAGCTTACCTGAGAGCCCGAGCTCGACGAGGAGTGAGTGGGGTTCGGTGAGTCCATGCCAGCTGTCATGCTTAACCCCACACCGTGAGAGAAAAACTGTGCCGGAGCCAAAGAACCTTCCTGGCTGGACACCACTTGAGTCAAAGCGGCCACCATGGCTGACATCTCCATGGACTGACTCAGGCGAGTTGACTCAGGCAGAGATGGCCGGGCAAAAGGGGTAGTCGGGGGTCGAGCCACCACAGCCGAAAGCAGGTAATCGTCCTCCGGCTGCATGCTGAATATATGGACGGGCTCATCCATGGTGGTGGTGGTGGTGGCGGCGGCGGGTGGTGGTGGTGGTGGCCGGAATCTGCGGCGGCCGCCCCTGTTGTTGTCCCCTGAGTTTGCCACTTTTGAAAAGCTGGAAATTTAATTTCAAGATTTGGTTAGAGTTCAGTAAGCGACCGAATTTGAGAAGTATTAATTCCAAAAAAATCATTTCTTCATAACCAGATGCTCTGTCTATAGAAATTAGTTCCAAGATTTTGTGGGGTTTTTTTTTTTTTGGTTTCTTTTTTATTGCCAAAACTCGAGCTTGGAAAAAGATTGTGCAATAAATATCAAAAGAGAGAGCTGAGATATGTTAGTTGAAGATGAAAGAAAACGATGGCACCTGATGCAATCTTTGAAGTTTATGAAGTAAACCCTTATCCTTTTACTTTGCCTTTCTCTCTGTATATGTTTCTAGTTTGGGGGGTAAATGTTAAAAACATTGTCAAACGAGGGTTTATATAGGAAGGAAAATAGATTAACAATCAAGATGACTCTCTTGGTTTAGCCGCCAAAAGAGCAGTGCCAGGCTGCCAGCTACTCTGTTAACTGCTTAATACGCTTAATAATGAACAGGGGATTATGCTTCGAGGCAGGGAAAAGATATTTTATTTCTGTTTTGTATCTGTTATTGATTTTCCAAGATGAATTTTTTATTAGGATAATATTTAAANNAAAAGGAAAACAAAGAAGTCACTTGTTAATTGTTATAAAAATAATTAGGTTGTATTAGAAACGAGGAAGGCAGAGTATATGCCGTAGCTTTAGCGTTTAAGTTAGAGTTCGGCTCTTGTCAAGAATTTTGTAAAATATTACATTAACCACATAATTCTAGTGAATTAATCTATGTATTTATAATCTGTGATTTTTGGATCAAGTAAATTATATCTTTTTGTTTTAGAGAATTCTGTTACCTATGACTACATGCATATTTTATATCACAGGATATTGTTCGGAAAATTATTAAGTTAGAGTTCTTTTTTTTTTTAACTTCCTATAAAAAAATAAGCATTTTATTAATAAAAATGATATAATTTATACAAATAATAATAAATGGGAAAGGCTACAGTTATTACTAAAAGTATTTATCTCTACTTTTTTGTAGGAGAGCCGGTATAGTGTGTGAAACGAATATCGTTTTATTTTAGTATGGTATGGTCCAAAAGCTTCGGTAATAATTTTTTTTTTTTCCACGTACAAATCAGGTAACGGTTAGAGTTATGTTAATTCAAAAGCCTCTGTATTACAGAAATTCTATGGTGCATGTTGCCATAAATCTTACGATCCAACGCCTAATATCCATTCTATCAATTCCACAATGGATATTAGGCGTTGGATCGTGAAATTATGGCACCACTTCTATCAATTCCACAATGGATATTAGGCGTTGGATCGTGAAATTATGGCACCATATGGTGCCCATATGGACACCATAGAATTTTTGTCTGTATTATGTGATACTTGTAGGAGTGTTATCTCTCAAACTTGGTGTTCTTAACCATTAAGAGACATAAACTTTTTTTTTCCACGTACAGATTAAGAGACATAAAAGCGGTGTTCTTAACCATTATAAGAGACTTATCTCTCAAATTCTCAAACGATTATCAATCTCTTATCTTGTATCTGTCTTGTTTATATTTATCTCTCAAACTCTCAAACGTTATCATATCTCTTATCTTGTATCTATCCATCTGTTTGTATGATGTGATAATTCATGGCTCTGTATTCCAACATTACTTCACCATTAAGATACATATGTTTATATTTTTAAACGATTGCGTAGCACTCATCTTCTATGGTGCTGTGTAGCACCTGCATTCCAACATTACTCCACCATTAAGATACATATGTTTATATTTTTAAACATCAATTGCGTAGCACTCATCTTCTATGTTGCTCTGTCTTCCATGTTAAATGCTTAACACGCCATTGAGTAGCACTCTTATTAAGAGTTTTATCTGTATCTCAAACTCTCTCAAATCTTACAACGAGATATCTCAAACTCTCAAATCTTACGACGAGATTATCACTCGTTTTCTATGTTAAGAGTTTGTATCTATCTCTCTAATATCAAACCCTACAAGGTTATCATATCTCCATTTATACTTTCAAACGGGTATTCTTGTCTTCTATGTTGAGAGTTTGTATCTCTCTCTCAAACTCTCAAATCCTCTCTTATTAATAGATGTTTATTCTCCAAATCTCTCTTATTTTTATATCAAACAACATTTACTTTACCAACATGCATATATATATATATATATATATATATATATATACTTTACAAAGACATACATATACATTTATTAAATGAATCAGGATGTGAGATTTACACCGCAGAAATGAAATTTGGCTCAGCTAGGAGGTTGAAACGTAGACATAGACATAAATAGAAGTCAAATGGCACTCAGCTGTGAGGTTGAAACAAAGAAAAATAGAATGTTAATAAGTAGAAATCCAATCATTTTAAACATATTTGAATTGGAAGCATCAGAATCAATACAACTGAGTGGTTGAACAAGGTTTCATTTTTATTATTATTTTCCTTACTTACAATTGCAGAAAAAAAAAAGTCAAATGTAAGTAAAATATAGTCAAACAAATAAGCATGGATCTTGAAAGTAGAGTAATAAATAAACAAAATGTAATTAGTGGGGTGATAAATGGTTAAAATAACAAATGTAACTCTGGTGTAAGAAAAAACACAGCAAGTTACAAATACATGGAGGATCAGCAAATTACACAAGTATGCATCAATGCCTCTAATATAAGAATTATTTGACGACACCCTGTAATGCCTCTTAATGGCAAAATCAGATTTTTATTTATGTATCCCAAAAACTACGTGGCATAACTTTTTAACCCACAAAATACAATGCCCATCCTCTTTGTTTACNTTTACTACTAGAGTGTGTTATTTTCGAACCGAGTAACTAATCAACGAGTCAATTTGACTAGACTCAATTAATTTAATAAATAAAAAAATAAACGAGTTGTTTGCGGACAAATTCGTATCGGCTATTTAAATCTCATTAAAAATATAAAATAAATATTTTTTTGAAATTTCGCAAATATGCTCGATAAACAAACTTGATTAGTTATCTGAGCATGGCTCGTACAAGTAAAAGAACAAGCGGATCTCGAAGTTTCATGAGGCGAACTAAATTATGTTCGCGAACAGCGCCATTCGGATCACAACTCTACTAATATCATCAAATGTTTCATGATTTTTTGAAACTGCATCACAAAAGTTAATTATAGTGGTTTTGCAATGCACATGTACAATAATATGTTAAACTTACATTCAACCTAGTAGACAATAATATTGCATCAATTGAACTTACTCCAGACAGAGGTTTGTTAAATGTTAAACTTCAAGTCCTTCAAAAAGTTAATTATAGTGGTTTTGTCATGCACATGTATACCAACTTTGATGCCTAATTGTATGATACCTCTAATTAATTTTTGCACCACATTCATTGTATACTCTCATGAATCTAAAACGGAGATGGGACCAAAACAAATTATAGAACAATGAAAGCACACGCTGCTTTGGTGTATCCTACTTCATTTTTTTTTTTACTTTACATTAAAGAAGACGTCGCAAATGGACACGATTCTCAATTGCAAATTCAAATTTAAATTTGTAGATTTTCACGCGAAATCGACAAATCATGAATTGTTTAAGCTTGAGCACGTTTTAAGCTCGATTCATAACAAGTTGGGCTTGGCTCGATAAGACTCGTTAAGGCTAAAAAGAGAATTTTTATATAATTTTCTAAATTCCACTCGTTTAGAGCTCGAGGTCGGCTCGTTAAGGTTCCAACTCGATTCCTTAATACTAATAAACGAGCCGAGATTGAGATGGAATTTTGGCTCGTTTACAAAATGAGTCGAGTCGGACTCAGCACGTTAAGGGCTAAAGCTCGAACACTCTGTGCTCGAGCTCGAAACAATCATCCTTGGACCTTATCCACTACGGATCTTGACCAAACGAACGAAGCGAAGCGAAACGAAGCGAAGTCATAGAAATTGTCGGCTTGGCTCTCTTGACTCTACTCGTCTTGTTTACAGCGTATTAATACAAACAAATTGGTCATGCTTAATTAAATTTTTTGGAGGTCACCAATCACAAAGAGCCCTTTAATCAAGTTTGAAAATGCAAGTTGAGATGTACATAATACATATAGAGAGAGAGGATTTGTCTGGGTCAACTAGTAAGACTTGATGCTTGAAGCATAGTCTAAAGACCTTACTTAAATGACTAATGGCATCAACGTCCATATTCATTCATTCAATTACAATTTACACTATCTCTCATCTATCTCATATCCACATCATCATTCCACTTAACATCTTTCCATTTAAACATTCACCAACATTCATATTCATTCATTCATTCAATAAAAAAAATAAAAATAAATAGTTTGGGGGCCCACATTAAATATTTAAAAAAAAATAGCTGCAGCAATGAACCTTTGAATATTGAGTTAAATATTAAATAAAAGAAAAAAAATAAAAAAAAGGAAGCATTGTCCGTTTAATGGACTGAATGAACGAGGTGGAGACCACATTAAATGAACGCTTTGCATCTCATTAACGGCATATCCTCCATTTAAACGGGGCCAAAAAACTAGCGTTGCGGATGCCCTAAGTGGGAATAACATAATGAGGACAAAGAAATTGTGTACTTACATGTCAATTGACTAAAGTTATTTAGCTAAATATTGTTTGTGTTTGCGAGACAGAATTTTTTATATATAGAGATGCATATGTAGTTATTGTCATATATGTGGAGTCAAAAATCTCCCTTCACACATTCCTATGCATAGTTTTTCAGTGTAATTGTAGATAATATATATACACGAATAATGTTATTTTAAGTCTAATTGTAGATAATATACACGAATAATGTTACGGTAAGATGAATCTTACAGGCTTGACATAATATACACGTGCCAAAAATATTTTAATTTATAAATTATAATTATCTTTAAGTCAGACAATTTAAACGTTTACATTTTATTACATCAACCATTACACCAAAAATATCATGTCAAACTAGTATTATTTCTAAACGTTTATCACGCCTATTATTATTTTAATATTAGAACATACTTGGCAAACTTATATTTAATATGTAATAATTTTTTATTATATTATTTTTCCTCGTATAAAATACATCAAATTAAGAATCTTTTCGCGATATTTTATTAGATTTAGACATTCATATTGTATATATAAAATAAAAATAATCATAATTCTATTTTATAAATAAATTTAAATGATTTATCAGTCTTTTTTAAAAAATAAAAAAATATTATTTATTAATTAAATATATTTATTTATTAAAGATATTATATGATGAGAGTTAGAAAAATTATAAATATAAATGAGCAAGCTAGTCTTAAACTAACATTATATTTTTAAAAAGTTGATACATTAAAATTTGAAAATAAAAAAAATTTAACTAATGCCTGTATAATACGCGTGTTGTACAACTACTATTATTATTATTAACATTAAAAACTTGAGTCAGCTTGAAATTCGATTTGGAAAAAATGACTGCTTGTAGCAAGTAGTTTTCATGTGAATATGAGAAAATCGAGATACAAATCAAATGGATTTTAATTAACCATCACTTCAAATCTCTCTCTCTTCTATTTTTACATTAAATCAATTTTAATTATTTTATTTTAAATATTATTTTAATATACCCACTAACAACTAACCATACCATCTTTTTTAAAATTAACCAAATCAAATCAAAAAATCTAAACAAAACAAAAAAAAATTATAAACAAACATGCTCTAAATTTTTTAGTAAACGGCCCAACTTGACCTAGTCAAATGGTCATACTAAAATCACATTTATCACGAAAATTATTATTTTTCTTACCACTAGTATTCGACCTTGTGCATTTGCACAGATGTAAATAAAATTAAATATTATAAATTATATTTATGTATATAATATAAAAATTATAAGTTATATAATTGTATTATATTTCAAACATATAGTATTATAAATTATATTTATATATATAATATTAAAATTATAAATTATATAATAGTATTATATTTTAAAATTTGATCATTGGTTAAAATAAATAGTACACACGATTTGATTGTATACGAATCACTATATTGATTGCATAAAATGCAATAAATATATACGTTTTATAATTTTGAGTGATCATGACCAATTAATTAGCTGAAAAATATTACATTTATTATAACAATTGCTTATGTGATTTTAAGAAATTTTACTATGACATAAAAAAAATTAATTTATTAATAAACAACATCTTCATCATATAAAAAAATATTGATTTTAGTGTAAAATATAATTTTATGTAACTTTCATATATTAGTATAAAATATAATTACTAATTTTAATATTAACTATTATATTATTTAATAAAAAATATAATTATTAATCAATTAACATAAAATATAATAGTTTTTATCTTAATTAACCCAAAAAATGTAATGAATATTTTCTTATTAATGAGATTGGGTGTATTAATACCACATAAATAAAATTTATTAGGTTCTATTTATTTGG